GGACACCAGCACCCGCATCTACCGGCTGCTCTTCTCCCTCCCCCTCCGACTCCGAACTCCCGTCCTCCTCCTCGTCCGATACCTCAACACCTTCATTCTCACCACCATCCCCCGCGTGAGTCGCGCTACCGTCCACCACCCCCACCCCAGTTTGTGGTTGCTCATGTTCACGAGGTTGCCTCCTAGGCTCGCACAGTACATCCCTGTGGTGCCTTACATTGCATGCACCACACAGCACCACATTCACCTCAGCCTCTGCTTGCGTAGCTGTTTGCACACTCATGTGCCCTTCCGGAGTGTGAAGTGCCTCCCACACGTCTCTCCTTTGTTTGCGCAAATCACAAGTCTTTCGATTGTGCCCTTTCTCCCCACACTTCCCACATCTACGCAGCTTCCTCCCATCAATCTCACCGTGGGACCTCAACCGGTTGTTGCGTGGCCTCCCCGACTTTTTTGGGTATATTGGTGCCTCAGTTGTCTGATCTGGCACGAGCTCAGTGCGGTCAAGAGTGCGAATCTCCGTGCTGTAGAGCTCCTTCAAAGCGTTTGAAGTGTAACACCTGTGGATCATGGCTTGAACCACAGGTTGGACATCCGCATACTCGTTGCCACGTGCCGGCTTGATGATGTGGAGCAGTACCGCATACATGTGCATGCATGGCAGCCCATACTCTCTGCATGTGTACGGGAAAATCAAATGGGTGTCAAACGAACGTTAGGATCCATCAAATGACGAACATCAAGAGATTGCCTGAGGGAGAATAAAATGTATGCATGTTCCGACAACCCTAACACCAGCTGCAGAATGTTTCCCTATTGTGTTTCAAGGTTTAGCTCAAACACATAACTCACCTCTGGTAATTACACGTGCACTGCGCCTCCTCTGGCTTTGCAACCTCCAATACCACCACACGCTCCTCCTTGGCTCCAGTGTCACGGCTCACATGGTATGAACTTCTGCCAGTCTTCTCCACTTTGTACTGAGTGCCCATTTGACAATTAGCACGAAGGATGCCTGCTGTTATGGGGGGGAGATCAGCTACCCCGAGATTCCCATACAGCTTACGACCCTCTTCCATTGCATTCGCTTGCTGTGTTATGAATGCAAGCAAAACTTGTGCTGGATTGTCCCTCCTCCACTTGTGCATAGAGGCATGATGCGACTCCAATGGGTTTGAGGTATAGCACCCAAAACGTGACGCACCAAACAGAAAGGTAGCCCAATGTGCGGCTAATCCATCCCTCTCCAAGTATTCTTTCCCCCCAGGGCACTCTTCCTCGATTTTGTCCATGTAGCCCCGCAGCACATCTCTGGTCAATGCTGCAGCCGCGAGCTCGATCTTGCCATCACAGTCTGAACCAAACTTTGAGTTAAAATTCCTCACCAAGTGTGTGATGCAAAATGCCTCACGCGCCCCTGGCAGCACTCTGGCAGCAGCCGCTTTCCATGCTTTCCCGCGATCATGCATCAGTGTAAACCTTGGAGTGTTGATCTCAGGGGCAGCTACCTTCAGCTGGCTCAAAAAATACTCACACGAATCCGCACTCTCACCTTCTACCCATGCACTCCCTAACCTCACCAGCTTATGTTCGCAGACAATCATGCATGCATTCAGAGTATGGCCTGGCCATACACCTTTGTTGTGACATCCATCTACAAATACGATCGGAAAGCAATTTTTTACTACCTCACGGACTCCTGGGTAAATCACTGCAGCACGATGGAACCTATTCTCGTTCAGCAACAATGACACAACGCTCGATGGGTTATGTCTCTTGAAAACATCAAGGATGCTACCAATGTACTGGAAACCCGACTCTCCACCTAGAGGATCCTCTCGAGTGACATCATCTATTGATCGGCCACACGTAGCATTGCAGCAGTCAACGCCTAACTTTTCCCGCACCATCTCTCGTAGTCCAACAGGTCTAATGACTGTATGAGCACGTACTTCACGCACCACTTGATTAACCTGTTCCCTCCTAATCCGACCAGGGCGTGGCACACACGTGTGTGCATGCTGCAGCGTCACTGATCTCACACTAAAGCTGCGATTTCGAGGCCCGGTAGCTACAATCCGAAAGGGACAAAACCCCTCTGGTGCTTTGGCCTCATTCTTGGGCCAGTCTTTTCCTTTCATGGAAGGGCAACACACGTCAAGGCGTTCTGGCCTGTTGTCCCTATACCAGGGCTTGAAATTGAACTTATCGCCATATTTCTCTATCTCATCTCTGGCAGCGCTTACGGATGAATAAATTTTCCCTTGGTAAATGTTGATCTCCTCCGTCTGTTGTCCAAGAAATGCCCTGTTTAAAAAACACATGACCGCAAAGGTAATGGAATCATATGTGAGTAGTTTGTTGCAACCCAAACAAGGGACGTGCAGCAATACGGGAACGTGTAGACATATCCTATCCATCGCATGTGTGAATCAGTGTGATCACCTTGAAAGAGAACTCCTGAACATTGTGCACACATGGTCCCTGTCTACACAATAGTTTGCGAGTGACGAAAGTCTGGAGAAAACAAAATTGAAACACGTGAAGGATCGACATGAAAATGGTGGATTATATTCAAAATCAGCACTCCAAAAATGTGGATGAAAGACCCGTGTGTGGTGACTAATGCTTAGCATTATGTACAGACCAATGCATGGAGTCTGTAACATTGGCGATTAATCGTGCGGAAGAAAAGTCATAGGGCACAATCAGTTTATGCCAGTCGCAAACTTACCATCGACCGCAAGGATCAGAGAAGATATATGAAGGGTGCACATATCAAACGAACAAGAACGCATATCCTGGATCGCTAGCCAATGTAACATTATCGGAGAGAATGTGATGCTCCTACTGCTCGATATGGTGCAGCCACAGATTCGGGAACAACGCATGGCGCCTATGCTAATTTAAGATTGCTTGCGGGAAGCTACGCGTTAAGTTAAGACAGAGTTTAGCATTGTGACTTGTCGCAAACCCTAATTTCTGAAGGAGCCCACGTAACTTGAGACGAAGTCACTCGAAAGATTTGACGGAGAGCTACTCCGTTTTCGTTTCCGTCTGCCTTGATGGCCGTTCCGAAAATCTGGGCGCGAAACAGTAGCCTAGCGGATTTCGGAACAGTGTGGCAGCCGAGCCACCCAGTTTGTGGATTCGATTCTGCAGTGGGGACAAAAATCTGTTGTGCACAGGTGGTCAGATGTCCAGTACAGTAGGTGGCATAGAAATTGTTGACACGTGGGTGAATGTGGGGATTTGCCCTGTCCTGTTTCTATAACTTCCCTGTCTGAGGCACGGAGGGGTGGAAAGTGCCCTCTACTTGCACTGTAGGCCCCCTCAGAGCGCAGGGTCGCTAGTGTAAGCCCTTCCAAAGTTACTTACCCTTTTCCGGGCAATTGAAATCGGGTATGGCGATAGGGACATTTGTGTCTGCGTTTCCTTCTGGGGCGCTGTCATTTCCAGCTGTAGGAACGTCTATTTCTTGTCAGACCAGCAGCGAACATTTGCGACTAGAAGAAACTGGAAACAGGTGATCCCTCAGTTACCTCTGTGGGTAAATGTATAAATTATAGTGTACATACTGATAGCGCTGCATATGAGCGGTCTTGGTTCCATACATGGAGCATGAATGAAAATAAGCCGCTGATATATTCGTAACAGTGAGGCACGAGACGAGCTGGCATCCCATGCTAGATGAATCAGGAGAATATTTCCCTTACAGAACTACCATAGGGAAAAATCAACTATGTAATTTTGGCACCCACAAACTAATCAGTCCTTAAATAGGTAGTAAAGCCTCATAAGCAGCTACATCTTTCTTTGCCTTGGCCTCCTGCTCCCAAACGATATGTGTCTTTGCATCCTTCTTGTACTCCCCAGCTGCAGCTTCAACACCCACCTCAAACTCATTCTGAGCTGTCTTCATACTCTCGAGCAACTCCTCCTCAGCCTTCTTAACCGTACCAAGAAACTTCTGGTATGCTGCTGAAAGACTCTTCCTCCTCTTCAGAACCTGCTCCGCAATTTCCGTCACATACCTCTCAATCTCCTTTTCGAAATCCTCGCTCTTGTCAATCTCTTTCCTCAGCTGCGCCAGGAACTCGTCCTCGTGGAAATCCAACTCCGCTTTCACTTTCCGCGCGGGCTTGTCCGTACTCGCAAGGTACGCCGTCGTCGCCTTGTCTAGAAACACTTGCATCTCCTCCAACGGCTCGGGGTTTTGCAAGCTGGCTATCGAGCCCTCGATCACATTCTCGTGGAGCTCAAAGATTTGAGCCGCTTTCTTCTGCCGCATTCTGAGTGCATCAGCGAGCTTTTGCTCGTACTCAGTCTTGGCTTCTGTTATCTTGCTGGCCGCCATCTTTTGGGTCATATTAAGCCGCTCCCACTGCAGTGACAGTGACAGGGGCGGTTGAGGGACAGGGGTGTGATGGGGGAGATGGGTGATAGAAGACATGATTGCTGCGAGATGCGATTGACCGGAGATGTGATTGCTGGAAGATGTAGTTGATCAGAGATGTGCTTAATGGGAGTTGTGAATGAAGAGAGATGTGATTAATCGGAGATGTGAATGAAGAGAGATGTGATTGATGGGAGACAAGGTTTATGGGAGGCGTGACAATGGAAGATACAGCCCACCAATAAATTGGCCGGTTGTGGTGAAGGTAAAACAAGAAGGAACAGCGCATGGTAAGGTACATGTAATGTAACATGCCCATTCCGAGCTGTGCGTCCACTGATGCTCGTCATTTGGAGTTAGATACATACCATGGTTGCTTGCATGGCATGACCAGTGATTATGGATCAATGAAGTCGACACATGAAAAGTGAAGAAGATAACTTCATTGTGGGCGAGGGATAGAAAACACAACAAGAAGAAGGGCTTACTACTGCTGGAAACTTTAGCTTGACCTCGAGGACACCTTGCTGCCTGCACATGCAAGGAGAATCAACCATAAGGAAACCTTTTTTTAAAACAGCAGCTTCTGCCACCTTGTAGGAGCAAAGAAAAAAATCACAGGAGAGAAACAAGAAGAAGCTGGTCCTGGAGGCACTAATGAGGAGAGAGGACTCAGGAGTCAACACCACCACGCAACTGTCTTCAACCCAGTGTAGCAAAGGAATGTAAAGCAAAGAGAGTGTTTAGCTCTTACTTCCCATCTGGCGTCTCCAGCAGCACAGACTCTGTTGCCTTGCCCAACTCCCGTGCCCTTGAAAAGTCTACCCTGTTGCACCCACACAGAAACAAGGGAGGCGTTTTGGTTCGATTAAGAGTAAGAAGCAAAGCAGTTGGCGGGGAGGAGTTGCAACCAGACGCACGGCTTGCAAGGGCTTGATCTAGGGTTCCAGTGACCGAGGAACGAAAAAGATTGCTGTTCTCACCTTATCAGTGACGTTAGATTGTACATGTTACACGAGACATCACATGTTACAGCATGCAACAAAACGCACAGATACTTCTGCTTAGTCCTGGTTTTGATGCGCTTAACCATTACCAAGGTAAACCTCGATCGCAATGCACCACTCTTGCAAGCCATTTCCCAATACACACCGCTAAAACAAAAATCACATCACTCCAGAAACTCCTCGTCTCTCAAACAGCTACCCCTCCGCAGCTCAGCGAAAAAATCCAAAACAGCACAGAACAAGCGCAAGGCGCATTGCCAGCACTCCCTCGCGTGCGTACTGACTTGCCGGTGCCAATGAGCTCGTCATTGGATAGAACCCTCTCATGCAACACGGTGATACTTTTTGGAATTCTCAAAAGTAACATGAACCCAGCACAAAACAAACACAACGTGCGCTGCCAGCACTCTCTCAAGCAGTCCTTCATTGATGGGTTTATAAGGATACAGGCATGGTAAGGGCAGGTGCTAGTGCATACTGACTTGCCAGTGCCAATGAGCTCGCCATTGGATAGAACCCTCTCGTGCAGCACGGTGAGTGTGATGACTGGGCTTTCACCGACTACTAAGGAGAATGTCTCGTTCCACTTGGGGCTTGTGCCGCCGTCTGTTGAGCGCGGAAGAGGAAGGGGGTAGTGGGGGGGAGGGAGCGAAGGGGGGTTGGGTTGGAGGAGGGGGGGAGAAGGGAGGGGGTTGTTTGGGGGACGGGAAGGGGGAGAATGAAGGGGGGGGGGAGATTGATGCAACGGATAGTGGGGACGTGGAGGTGCGGAGAAAAACACACTGGAAACTGCGTGTCAAGTAAAAAAAGATGCGCGAACGGACCTGTACTGGGAAAGGATTTTAGGGAAGTGATGCTTGCCATTTGTTCACGTGGTAACCAAGGTTATGTCAGGGTGATACACTACCATCCCCACATGCATTGCCAGGCAAAGTCCACTTTCACCTTCCAGGGCCGCATTTCAAGCGTTATCAAAGCATTCAAATAACAGCTTCCGAAGACCGCATTTCCTAACTGCCTGCCGCTCTTCTCCCCATCTCTCGAAAAAAAAAAAACGACCCACATCAGCAACCCTTTCGAGGCGCCTTTAAGGTAAAACGATGTTTGCGACGCCTCGAAAATGCAACCGTGCCGTATTGGCCTAATCACTAACCTAGCCAATCTATATTCGCGGCTTCCACGGTGCCACAGTCTCAGCTTCCCTGCTCCCCAACTCGCGAACTTACTGGTGTCGGTCTTGGTGCGAAGGTCGATATCGTTGTATTTAATAGTCGCATACGGGTCCTGAATACTTCCAATTTTCCATATCTGCACGTCTGGCAGACCGCTTGCCCGAATGACTGTCGGAAGGAGTAACGGGGAGACAGTAGATGGCTGAAATCATTGCGTCTGAGCCGGTTCAAGTGATAATGAGGAAGATGCAATGCAAATGGAGGAAATTAATTATCGTTTTTCTTTTGTTCTTGCGGTTTCTCGTCCACTTCTTCTAAAACGCTTACTGGTCAATTCGAGTTTATTGTCACCCATTCGCACGAGCGCTCGGCAACAGCAACAGCACGGGAAGCTGCCACGAGATAATACTATTTCAGAAAACCGCCAGTCTGCTTCAAAGACTCAACGGTCCTCTAAGCAACGTAGGGGCGAGAGGACAGGAAGGATGCTAAGTAGTAGGCTAGGAGGGTACAGGATAGAGACGTGAGGTAACGAAGAGAGTGATCTGACCAGAGCAGGGTGGCAAACTTGTTGACCAGGTTCGGAACTGGTTACGTTGGGCAGCGCGGAATTTCGCAAACATCGGAAGCCAGCTCACGACGATGATCTGCGATGTCGTTTCCTCCGCATCTGGCTCAATTGGGATTTTGTACTAGGGCGCGTAGAATGGCAATGGTTCAAGTTCAATATTCTTGAAGCTGAAATGCTCTCATCACCCTTCGCCCAACCAGGGTATGTAAGGAAAATTGTCATCAACTGCAAAACAATTGATGCTGAGTCACCCTGTTTGAGGTGGCGAAGTCAAGGGATTGGTCTGGCAATTGACAGTGCGACACCTGACGTTTTTGCCTCTGAAGCAATTGCAAAACATTTCCCTGGTACATGAGACTTTCGGAATGCTCGCACAAATTGCTGGTGTTCTAGCTTTGGCACCTAACCAATTTCCGTGCCTGGTTGGTTCGGCCACAAACTGCGATTTGTGTTTCCTTCGCACCCCTCGCCACACCCCTCGTCATTCTTTACACCTCGCCATCCAATCCTAACCAAGGTCAAGTCATCAACTGCAAAACAATTGATCTACGTGAGACCCTGGTTTTAAGTTCAGTATTCTTGAAGCCTTCACCATTCTAGACTCGGGGTTTAAATAATTGTACGAGTAAAATTGAGTGAACGAACGAAGATTGCACAATAGAAGTAGAGTGCATTGAGCGGAGGAATGAGCGAACATTATATACGGAAGCTAGCATGGTAACGGTAACGTACGATAATCTGGTGCGCAACGGGCCCGGCGCCGAAGTTGGGAAATGTCGAGGCGGAGGATCGGAGCGCATGTTACCGTAAGGTTGGGTCGCGATATGAACAGTGGCGGGAACAGTGGTCGATGCGAGTGTTGCGAGTGGTAACGTTTTACTGTAGGGTGTTGTTGGTGGGAACATGTCAGAATAGAGTGCAATAATGGATGACTAGAAAGCAAGGACGAATACAAGTAGGGGAATGTCTAACCCTGAAGTGTTGTACTCATTAGAGGCTACCTCACTACAGCCTACAACATAGAAACATAGTTTGATAGAACAATCGTGTATGCAGTAAGCAAGGGCGCAAAGAGTTCATTGTCAGAATGTGTTATTGTCTAGTCTGCAGTGGGGTACTCCATAGTGAGTACAACCCAAATCAGGGTTTGCAATATGTATCCTATCTGCTGCTTGTGAAAACCCTCTTTCCTGTTTCTAACTTTCCGCTTGCTATCTTGACATGCTATCAGAGCGAGGACGCTCCTGGCATGTGGGCCCACCTGCTTCCGCTGTTGTCCTACCTGTCACGCGCCTCGGGCGCGCGACGTCTTCTGCCTGCCGCGCGCCCGGCGCGCGTGGCAGGCGCGCGGCGGTTTTCTGCCCGCCACGTGCTCGGGGCGCATGGCGATTTCATGGCGCGCGCAGCGGTTTTGTCGCCCGACGCGGCGCCCCGGGGCCCGCGCGCTGTCCCCTCCCGTCGCCCGCCGCGGCGTCCCGGAGGCCCGCACGTCACCCTGCCCGTTGCTCGCCGCGGCGTCCCGGGGGCCTGCGCGTCGCCCTGCACATTGCCCGCCGCGGCGCCCTGGGGGCCCGCGCGTCGCACACCCCTCCCCCCCTCCTGCCGCCCGTCAAAGCGCCCCGGGGGCCAGCATACCGCCGTGCTCGTCGCCCACCGAGGTGCCCTGGGGGCCCGCGCGTCGCCCCCCCTCCCGTCGCCCGTCGCAGCGCCCCGGGGGCCTGCGCGCCGCCCTGCCCGTCGCCCGTCGCAGCGTCTTAGGGACCCGCGCACCTCCCCCCTTCCGCTCGCACGCCGCCCCAGCTGTTGCCCGCGTATCAGCCCCGTGCCGCACACGGGCCGCCTGCGTTTGGGGTATGGGGGTGGCGGGTATGTGAGCCGTCCCCTGCTCCTCCTCCTCCTCCATCTCCCACTGTTGCAGCTGCCGTTGAGGGGGGTGGGTGTGTGGGAGCCGAGGGAGTCGCGCTAGGGGGGTGTCGTGGGAGTGGAGCTAGGGGTGCAGCAAGGGGTGTGTGAAAGGGGTGTGGGACAGTTGGGGGAGGTTGAGCGGAGGTAGCCGTCGTGACGTCAGCAGCGCCATTAGTCCGGGGGTCACCCTTGCTCCGGTAGCCCAGCGAGCCTGCTGACATCGGTCGCCCGTGGGTCCGTTGCTCCTGCCGCTCGTCTTAGCCGCGGAGCCAGTTACTCTAGTAGCCCGGATACCCTTCCTTGTGTCTGGTAGCCACCGTGCGCGCCGCTCCTGTTGCCCGTGTGTCTACGGCTTTACCCGTCGCCTCCTATCTCCACTCCTCTCACAGTCCCTCCTCCTCCTCCTCACTTGCCCTCTGTGAGTGCCTCTAACTTTGCTTGTGCTTGTGAACTTATTATTTGACTGCTTGCTGTGCTGATTATACCCCATTTTGCGTATGGGGGTGTGTCAGGATGTGTTATTGTCTAGTTTGCAGTGGGGTAGTCCATAGTTAGTATAGCCCAAATTAGGGTTTGCTATATGTATCCTATATGCTGCTAGTGAAAACCCTCTTTCCTGTTTCTAACTTTCTGCTTGCTATCTTGACATTCATGTACATCCCGGAAATTGTGGTTGTGAACAGATACTCGATGAGGACGGGGTGGATCTCGATTTTATCCAGTAGAACCCAGTTAACTTCCGTGGGTGCGCGATCTCTCCAACGAATCGGGAATTTGATCCCGCGGGCTCCACGTGGGACACGAACTCGATGGCTCAGTATCTTTTCAGGTATGATGACGTGTTATGTCGGTGGTCGTGTCATGCAGGATGGGTGGACTGCGAGGCAGTTGACTCGTTGAAAGGGCGTATGGGCGGAGGAGACTGACATAGATTGAGGGGTTAACGTACCAATCAGCGGGTAGGAGGAGGTGGGCGGTGACAGGGGTGATGCAAAATGGCCCGCAATATCGTGGGCGTAACTTGGAAGTGACGGGCAGACGAAGGTTTGGAGTGTCGAATAGTACGAGGTCGTCGGGCTGGTAAGTGACGGGTCGGCAGTGGCGGTCGGCGTTTCTTTTAGCGATTATGTTTGATATTTTAATGGCGTCTGCTGCTCGAGTCCAGGCTGCCTTTAGAGTTTTGGGGAACTGTTGCGCTCGTGGGACTGGGCTGTCGAGGTTTGACGTCATGGGTACTGTAGGGTTCTGTCTATAGTTGAGGTAAAAGGGTGACTGGTGCGCCGTAGCTGACATGGAGTTGTTGTGTGCGAACTCGATGAGTGGCAACTGCTGCTCCCATATTGCTGGGTCTGTCAGAATGAGAAACGAGAATGAGGAGTGACTAGCAGGAACAACAGTACAAATATGTCAAACCCTAATCTGGTGTACCCCTTATGGTGTGACCCACTACAGCCTAGAACCACACAAACATATAAATGTTTGACACACCCCCATAGGCAAAGTGGGGGAGACCTAGGGGTCACAAGACCAGTCAAGGCAAAACAAGGCAAACAAGCTCAGGGTGGATCTCGAGGATTCCACACAAATTCTGAGCACAAGCAAGCGGTCACAAGACCAGTTCACATGCAGTTTTATAATACAGCAAGAGGTACAATGATCACAACCTAACAAGGCAAACATGCAGGTATATATATAATGATCACAGTACAGGTAAAGTCAAGAAGTAAGTAAGTGAGAAACAGTCGGCACAAGGCCTAGAAGAGTGCAAAAACGCTGATGGTCAACAGGCGGAAGCGCCTTGGTGAACACATCAGCAGTGTTGGCCTCAGTGGCCACGTAACGCAGAAGAAGCTGACCACGCTGCTGTAGCTCTCGAGCTAGAAAGTAACGCAGAGCAATGTGCTTCGTCCTGTGCTCCAGTCTGTGCTCCTGGCACAAGGCAATGGTTGCCTTGTTGTCGACGTACAGTACTGGAGGAGAACGAGGCTGCTCTCCAAGGTCAGTCAGCAGGTAGGTGAGCCAGCGAAGCTCCTGGGCAGCCATGGCCGTGGCGTAGATCTCAGCCTCACAGCTGGAGCTGAGAACAGAAGAAGAACGAGTAGAACGCCAAGAGACTGAGCCAGAGCCAAGACTGAAGGTGTAACCCTGAGATGACCGCTGAGTAGCCTGGTCGTCTGCCCAAGAAGCGTCTGAGTGCCCAGTGAGAACAGGCCGGTCTCGCCCTCCAAGCACTAGCCCCATGCCCGACGTACTGCACAAGTAGCGCAACACCCTCTTAGCTGCATCCATGTGCTCCTTCCGGTGACGGCCGGGAGCAACATAGCGTGCTAAGATGCTGAGAGGGTATGCTAGGTCAGGTCGAGTGCAGGTCATCAGGTACATGAGGCAGCCCACAAGCTCTGGATACGGACCACTCGACTCTACGGACTCATCCGAAGGCAGAGCTGAGAGCGAGTGACCCGTAGGCAGAGGAGTGGACTGAGGCGAGGAGTACGTGAAGCCGAAGCGCTGAAGGACCTGCTGCACCATGTGTGACTGAGTCAGGGTAATGGTGCGGCGTGCTCTGTCCCGGGTGATCCGCAAGCCAAGATAGCTTGTCAGTTCACCCAGGTCTGTGCACGTGTGTCTCTTCTGCAGCTCGGACTTCACGTGGGCGAGTGCGGCAGTGTCCGCAGTGGCAAAGACCAAGTCGTCGACGTACACGAGGATGTAGAACGGCGGCAGCGAGGTGTCGGTGCGCAGAAACAGCGACGGGTCAGCAGTAGAAGGAGCAAACCCAAGAGCCGCAAGTGTAGTCCTCAGTGTGTCGTGCCACTCACGCGGCGCCTGGCGGAGACCGTAGACTGGCCGCCGGAGGCTCCACTGGGTGCCAGGAGGGA